TGGGACCAGGTGACACCTCTGCCGGGAAACTGGACAAAGGTGGGGGGGAGCAGGGGAGAGGCTGGGTGAGAGACGCTGGAGAGAGAGTTTCAGGAGCTGGCTGGGGTAATGGAGGGGAGCCCAGACGGGGCTCTGACCCCCCAGTGGGGCTGTGGTGCCCCTGGACCCCAAGATGGACCTAACTGGGGGGCGGGGTCCTGTTGTCTGTACCTGCAAGACCCGTCTTGGACTGTGTTCCTGTCGGCTAAATAAACCTTCTGTTTTACTGGCTGGCTGAGAGTCATGGTGAATTGCAGGAAGCCGGGGGTGCAGGGCCTGGTGTCCCCCCACACTCCGCGACAGGGGGGACCTGAGAAGAGGGCCAGGAAGCCCTGCGTGCGGCTGTTGATGGGGGCTGTGGGGAGGTGACGGGGGAGGCTGTGGGGTGACCGGGGCGGGGCTGTGGGGGGGCCATGGGGGCTGCAGGGGGGTACCTGAGAAGAGGGCCAGGAAGCCCTGCGTGCGGCTGTTGATGACGTCGATCTCATGCAGCGACACCGTGTGGACGACCTCCTTGCGCTTCTGCAGCTCCCCGTCCGGGCACTGCACAAACTTAGTCTGGGGGGAGGGGCAGCTCAGAGTCTGCCCTCAGGAGCCCCCCACTGCGCCCCCCCAGCAACCCCCTCCACCGTGCCCCCACAGCAGCCACCAACACCCCCCTGCCCCCTCGGGACAGCAGGAACGTGATCCGGGGGAAGGGCCGCACAAAGCCCACCTGCTGCCCCTGAGCACCTCCCCACCCCCCACACTGCCCGAACTTGGGGGGCAGGCAGCTCAGAGCCCCAGCCCATACCTGGGCACCACCACTCCCCCCAACCCGGCACTGCCCGTACCTGGGCGCCACCACTCCCCCCCAACCCGGCACTGCCCGTACCTGGGCGCCACCACTCCCCCCCAACCCGGCACTGCCCGTACCTGGGCGCCCCCACTCCCCCCAACCCGGCACTGCCCGTACCTGGGCGCCCATGGCGTCGTAGTCCCGCGCCCGGGTGAAGGAGCGCCCCAGTTTGCTGATCTTCCCGGTGGCTTTGTCGATGGTGATGACGTCCCTGCGGGGGAACAGAAGAGCGGCCAGACTGGGTCAGACCAAAGGTCCGTCCAGCTGTGTCCTGTTTGCCAGCAGCCGCCAGGCACCCCCGAGGGCATGAACAGCACAGGAGATCGTCGAGCGATCCAGCCGTCGCCCATCCCCAGCTCCTGGCAAACAGAGGCCTGGGACCCCATCCCTGCCCAGCCTGGCTAATAGCCATCCATGGACCTGTCCTCCATGGACTTATCTAGGTCTTTTCTGAACCCTGTTCTAGTCTTGGTCTTCACAGCATCCTGTGGCAAGGAGTTCCACAGGTTGACTGTGTGCTGTCTTCAGAAATACTTCCTTTTGTTTGTTTTAAACCTGCTGCCTATTCATTTCATTGGGTGACCCCTAGTTCTTGTGTTATGAGGAGTAAATAACACTTCTTGATTCACTTTCTCCACACCAGGCATGATTTTATAGACCTTTATCATATCCCCCTTTAGGCGTCTCTTCTCCAAGCTGAAAAGTCCCAGTCTAATTAATCACTCCTCCTATGGAAGCCATTCCAGGCCCCTAATCATTTTTGTTGCCCTTTTCTGAACCTTTTCCAATCCCAATATATCTTTTTTGAGATGGGGCGACCACATCTGCACGCAGTATTCCAGATGTGGGCGTGCCCTGGATTTATATAGAGGCAATATATTTTCTTAATGACTCCCAGCATTCTGTTCTGCCGCTGCCCAGATAATTTCAGAGAACTCTCCACCATCTCTTTCTTGAGCGGTAACAACTAATTTAGACACCATCGTTTTATAGGCATGGGGGGGATGGTCAGGCCTGGCCGGGGGTGTGTGTGCGAAGGCAGACAGGGGAGAGCCCAGGCCCTCTATACCGGGAGCCCCGATACGGACCCCTTGGGGGAGCCACTCCTTGCTGGATTCCTGCCCTCCCAGCAAGCAAGCTCTCCGCCCATGGCCCCCTGCCCCAGCCCCTCCCGTCCCACCCATCGCCCACTGCCGCCCTCCCCCACCCATCAGCACCCAACGCCCCCCCACCTCACCCTGCCTGCACTTTCTCCTTGGTCAGTGACTCGATCATCTTGGTGCCCAGGTCGTAGATGGTTTCCATCTCCGTGGTCTTCAGCGTCAGCTTCCCCACCTTGGCGCCCTGCGGCGGGGGGGGGGTGGGTGTCAGCCACTGCGCACACACCCCCGGCACATGTGGGGGGGAGGGGGAGAGAGCCCACAGCTGTGCCCCGCCCACTGGCCTAGGGAGGGCCTGCTTGGTGGGGGTGGGAGGGGCCTGCTCTTGGGTGGAGGGGAGGGGCCAGTTCCTGCAAGGGAGGGGGAAGTAGGAGGGGTATGGGAGACCAGGGCAGCACCAGCCAACCCAGGTCTGTCCTGCTCCTGCCAAGCTGGGCAGGTGAACCCGGGGCGGCACCGGCTGGCTCAGCCCCCAGGGGCTGCCCACCCCCCTGCCCCGCTCCCCACTCACGGTGCCGGTGGCCGGGCGGTCAATCTGGATCTCCACCACCTCCCCCTCGATGATCTCGGTCTCCTCCCTGCGGGGAAAGAGGAGAGGGGGTGAGGAGGGACAGCCCTCACCCCCACCCGCCACGCCACAGTCCCCAGGGACAGAAACCAGCTTCCCCCAGCACCCCCAGCAGGGGGCAGCTCTCTGCCCAGTGAGGCACTTACGCACAGCAGGGCAACCAATGTCCTCCTGGCTCCCAGCCCCCGGTCTAACCACTCAACTCCACTCCCCTCCCAGAGCCGGGGAGAGAACCCAGGAGTCCTGGCTCCCAGCCCCCGTACTCTAACCCACCAGATCTCACTCCCCTCCCAGAGCTGGAGACAGAACCCCAGCATCCGGGCCCCGCCCCTCACTTGATGCGCACGCCGATGGAGCGCCGGAAGGCCTGGGTCAGCGCCTCTGTCTTGCTCATCTCCAAGGAGAAGATCTCGCTGCCGGCGATGGCGGTGAAGGGCGTGTCCAGCCCCAGCGCCTGCGCCATGCCTGGGGGCAGGGGGGAGAGCTGGTTACACAGGGGAGTGGATGGCTGGGGACCCCCACTGCTCAGGGCACGGCAACTCCCTCGAGGGGCCCAGAGGAGAGTGCCAGGGTGGGAGGGATTCCCAGGGTAGGGGGGATCCCAGGTCACGGGTGTGTGTGTGGGTGGGGGGGGACTCCTTGGGTGGGAGCAGGATTCCAGGAAGGGGGAGGGGGATTCCTGTCGGGGAGGAGTCCAGAGGGCCCTATACTTGTCAAGAGGAGGAGCGGAGGAGGGGTCCCCAGGCCAAGGCTGTGATCGGTTCCCAACAGGGGCCCCCCAGGTGCCTTAGAGGGAGGCCCCCAGCGCTGTACCCATGGCGATGGCCGTCTTGCCGGTGCCCGGCTGGCCGGCGATGAGGACGGCCCGGCCCGCGATCTTCCCCTCCTTGATCATCTCCAGGATGACGCCGGCGGCGCGGCGGGCGGCCAGCTGGCCCACCATGCCCTGCGAGACCTGGGAAGAGCGAGGGGTGGGTGCCGGCGAGGGGGGAGCCCCAGCCAGCCCCCCCGGCTCCTCCCTCACATGCAGCCCATCCCCCCACTCACACACCCAGCCCCCTGCTGCAACCCCGAGGCAGCCCTTCCATCTCCCCCCATTCACATGCAGCCCTTCCCCCATATGCAACCCCCACTCCCGCCAGACCTCCCTCCCCAATACCCAGTTCCTCCCCTCCGCTGACCAAGGTGCCCTATGCCCCCCGCACAGCCCCCCAAGCTCCCTCAGACAGTGACGCTACCCCCAACAGCCCCCCATTTTCCCTTCCATGGAAACCTCCTGGGTCTCTCCCAGTGGGCCCCCTGCCCAGACTCCCCACATGGGAGTGGCCAGGAGGAGGCGCCCCAGGTACCTGTCTGGGCTCCAGGGCATCGTCCAGGCCCAGGCCCCGGATGTGGGAGTGGGCGCCTGGGGACAGAAGAGAGGCGCATCACCCGGCTGTCCGGGCCGAGGGGGGGCTTGGTGTGTGTGTCCCCCCCCCCCGGTGGGCAGAGACCGGAGCTGATGAGGGCAAAGGGCCCAGGCAGCCTGGTATCGCCCACGGCTCCCTGACACCCCCGATCACGCCCCCCGGGCCCGGCCAGACCCACGCCCCCCCCCCAATCCAACCCCCCCCGGCCCCCGATCACGCCCCCCCCACCCCGGATCCACGCCCCACCGGGCCCCCCCCACGCCCCCCAACTCCAACCCCCCCCCCGGCCCCCAGATCACGCCCCCCCCGGCCCGGCCCCCACGGGCCACAGCGAGGCGGGGGAGGTGGGGGGGGGCAGGTTGCGCCCATCCCCGTTGCCGTGGAGACCGCGTGGCTCCCGGCTGGTTCCCATGGCAACAGGGCGCCGCTCCTCTGCTGGGGCGATCCCAGCCCCCCCCCGCGCGGGACTCACCGATCCGCTCGATGCGCGTCACGTCCCGGACCTCGGGCACCTTCGT